GATTGCAAATATTTGTTATTCAGGATTAGAATATATTTTTAATTCCATGTAGTGTTTTTGTTTAGACTTTGCTGTAAAAGTAGAGTAATTCATGTTTTCTTTGGTGAAGTTTCTTATATTGGAATACAACTTGTTTTGGATGTAAAGAAATAACTCTATATAAACTTTTTAAATTGATTACACAAGTTATACTAAGAAAAGAACTAAGGATGTTCAATAACACAGTTATGTAATGTTTATGCTCAGCTTAACTTAAAGTGCAGGATTATTGAACTTGTATCCACAAGTAAAAATAAATCATATATATATATGTATATATATATATATATATATTCAAATTCTGATTTGTTACACCGTAAATGCTCTTTTACAAAAATATTCTCTTTACTATCTGGAAAATATCAACAAAAACGTATAATGCACTGTGAAAGGATATCTGCTTATACTGTACAAATATTCAGCTCATATGTGCAATTTAAATGACAATTCTTTTTATCTTTTTATCATACTAACAAAAATTTCTGTACATATCTATTTTTACATAAAAGTACATAAAAGGTACATTGATTCTACATAAAAGAATCAATGTCTTTGCAATGGTTGTAAACTAAACGTTTAAAGAGATGAGCACAATGTTACATCTTTAACTGCAGGAAACTACTTGTATGTTAGCAGTTTAGCATCCTAACCCTTTTTAGTTATACAGAAATATGTACAACTCTGCGTTTTCTGTGTTTGAAGAGGCTAAGAGCAGTTATATTTCAGATTTTAAATTCTTTCACATAAAAATCACCTGAATTCTGATTTCATTACTGTAATGCAGATGTGCATTTGAGATACATTGGGTTTCTTTTTACATTAGTAGAATTTCAGTGCTAAAATAGATTAAACTGGTCTAAATACATTTACATAAACAGACCAAAACTAAAATTTAAATTAGAAATCAGAAAGAATGTTCACACATTTATTTTTGTTTGTTTACTTGTCTATTGAGTACTTAAAATACATTATATATCACACAGAGATTACTTTAGCTGTCCGTTTTCTCACTCTGTACAAGTATAAAGAAGAACCGAAGAAATGTTATCTTGTGTTCTCTGCCACTTCAGCAGTGTGTTTAAAATTACACCTGATGGAAAATTTGCAAAAGGTTTCAGTGCTAGTGGCTTAAGTGGGCATGACCGTTATGACACATAGTACACATTTATAATAAGTATAATACAGATGGACAGATGAAACAAAATATGAATTGGCTGGTTAAACTGAGAAAAATACAATCAACAGACAAGGAAACAGATTTTGGGCTGTATTACAGGTTTCGAACTAACGGGCAAGTGCATATGTGCAACACATGTATAACCACCCACTCACACATTACAGGTTTCGAACTAATGGGCAAGTGCATATGTGCAACACATGTATAACCACCCAGTCACACATTACAGGTTTCGAACTAATGGGCAAGTGCATATGTGCAACACATGTATAACCACCCACTCACACATTACAGGTTTCGAACTAATGGGCAAGTGCATATGTGCAACACATGTATAACCACCCAGTCACACACACACACACACACACACACACACACACACACACACATGCACCTCACATACTGTATTTAACCACTTTCCTATCATATGTCTCAGCAAATGGCGCCTCAATAGAAGCGAAACTAGAAATAGAGAAAAGTTCTGCATCACACGCCTAGTACCATAAATAATAGCTTTAACCACACTCAGTTGCACTGCAGTGGAAATTTACACAACGACTTTCTGTAACTCCAATCCACTGAACTTCAAATGACATCAAACAAAATGCACATATGCCTGCCCAGCGAGAGCAGTTACTATCCATAAACTTTGTTCATCCTTTTAATTACTTAATATGAAACTTGATATTTTCATGTATTTTGTATATGCTTGGCTAAAAAGATGTGTTTAATCAAGATTTAAACAGAGTGTGGATTAAAGGTGACATATCATGAAAATCTGACTTTTCCAGGTTTTAAGTGCTATAATCAGGTCCCCGGTGCATCTACCAGCCAAGGAAACGTGAAAAAGATGCACCCAGTCACACACACACACACACACACACACACACACACACACACACATGCACCTCACATACTGTATTTAACCACTTTCCTATCATATGTCTCAGCAAATGGCGCCTCAATAGAAGCGAAACTAGAAATAGAGAAAAGTTCTGCATCACACGCCTAGTACCATAAATAATAGCTTTAACCACACTCAGTTGCACTGCAGTGGAAATTTACACAACGACTTTCTGTAACTCCAATCCACTGAACTTCAAATGACATCAAACAAAATGCACATATGCCTGCCCAGCGAGAGCAGTTACTATCCATAAACTTTGTTCATCCTTTTAATTACTTAATATGAAACTTGATATTTTCATGTATTTTGTATATGCTTGGCTAAAAAGATGTGTTTAATCAAGATTTAAACAGAGTGTGGATCTGTGCACTAACAATTAGCTCAGATAATTTAGAAAAACAACCTGGTCTTGATGAAACACATTGCTGGGTATCATTGACATAACAATGGAAGCTAATACCCTGCCTTCTAACAGTATTTCCCAGGGGAAATATGTGCGTATATTGAACATACAGTAGCAGAGGGACTAAAACAGAACCTTGCGGCACGCCATACTTTACAAGTATTAAACTAGATAGTTCTTCATTTAAATAAACAAAATTGTAACAATCAGACAGATAGGATCAGAGCCTGAATGCCTGTCCCGGAATACCAGTGTAGTTTAGTAGGTGCTCTAAGAGTATATCATGATCTGTAGTGTTGAACGCAGCACTAAGATCAAGTAAATCATTTGTAAATTTAGCTAGTGCAGTTTCTGTGCTATGATTGGGCCTGAAACCTGACTAAAACTTTTCATAGATTATCATTCATTAGAAGGAGCATAACTGAGCAGATACACCCCCCCCCACACTTTGAGATTTTGAAATGAGTGGAATTTGCTAATTCATTTGGATCCAGTTGTGGTTTCTTAAAAAGAGGCTTAATAATTCCCAACTTGAAGAATTTTGGTAGTTGACATTGATAAAGAGGAGTTGATAATGTTGTGAGGAGGCTCTCTTGCTACAGGTAACACTTCTTCTCTTACAGTTTTTCTCGATTGCTTAAACACATTTCTTGAAACTATGCCTCGTATTCTCAAAACAGTAAACACAAATCCATAACGACTCACCCAATTCCCCAAACATCCTATTTTCAGGAAGCACTCATTACTGTAACTGTCACACATCCTTTTTACAGGAAAAAATGGAAACATACTGAAACTCTATCTGTATGCGAGGCAATCTGATGCATTTCTTTATTACAGTAGCATAATCCTCCTTCACCACGTCCTCCTTCTCCTTCACCACGTCCTCTTCCTCTCCCTCCTCCTTCACCACATCCTCTTCCTCTCCCTCCTCCTTCACCACGTCCTCTTCCTCTCCCTCCTCCTTCACCACGTCCTCTTCCATCTCCTTCACCATGTCCTCTTCCTCCTCCTTCACCACGTCCTCTTCCTCTTCCTCCTCTTCCTCTTCCTCTTCGACCTATTCCTTCAATCTCACAGATTCTCTGCAAAACACATGAAACACAGTAGAGTAAATCACTGCCCTGAAGCACAGTTCAAGAGGGCACAAATGGCAGCATAAACTGCTATACTGTGATAGTACACAATACTTCATACGATATCAAAACTCATGCCTGAACATATTCCACTCGTTGGTCTTTCACTCTGTCAGAGTGCTTTTTGAAAAATGACGTTATGGTTTTCAAATTTTAATTCAAAAGCCTGGTTATAGTGTTTTAGCAATCGAGAAAAACTGTAATTTAGTTGGTATGAAATTACCATACCAAGCATGTTGTTGGTTTAATTTTATTTATTTATTTTTTTTTTTAAAGCTCTTTCTGTCCTATAGTTATAAAGCATTGTATTAGTTTCCAGCACTGGGTTGTATTTAACCCAGCATTTTTTAGAGTGTGGGCGCTAAATAAGACTGAAAGACACTGCCAAAAGTTGTACGCCTACTATTGTTTTTCTGATACTTTCGATTTTCTTTAAGTCATTACTACTAAACAGTGACAAAATACTCTGTTTGGACAAAAATTTAAATTGTTTGTTATTCTCGCCACTGTACTAAATAAAAACCTGGGATTGTTTGATTATTAATGGAGACGCTCAGTCCTGGCAACTTTTAGAGCCTGTCTATAGCTGGACATACTGTTTTTTTGTATGCAATTCTAAAGACTTTTCCAGATGGACAGACTTTCCATTTTTTTTATTTTGTTTTATTTATTTTATTTGATGGGGGCAGTAACATGCTAGTGAAGCTAGCATTTAATTTAATTTTACTTGATTACATATGAGCGATCTTCCTGACCAACACTCTTGTATGGGAATATTACTAGGCAAAACTTTATTTTATAGTGTTGTAACAAATACATTACTAAGTAATATAGAAATATACAACAACAATACAATGTATTGTAAAGTACAAGCAGTTTTTTTCAGGTTTTTAATGTAAGAGGAGATTGTAAATAGAAGAATAGAAATAGAAGATTGTAAATAGGTCCAGTTTTCATGTTGACTTTAATTATAAATATTTCATTTATAGTCCAGGCAATAACTCTGTCGATTTTTCTTTACACATTATGTAATAAAGAGTCTCTACTCTGTCTCTCTATCCACCAAAGGGTTATTAGCCTAAAATGTCTGAAGACCTCTAGTGTACTCTCATTAACATGTGTGCATGTTTTGAGCAGGAAGGGGCATACTTTACAGGATAATGGAGGATCCAGGGCTGTGATTGGCTGTTTTTTTCTGTGCGGTAAAATGTGAGGGGGTGGGCTTGCCTTTCTGGAGGAGGAGGAGGAGGAGGAACAGGAGACTGTGATGGAGTGTGTGTGTGTGAGAGAGAGTAAGCAGCCACACACATGCTGGTTGGCATGGACACACGACAGGCAAATGGAAAAAAAAAATTCTAAAGATTGTGCTTCCTTCCAGTCCATAATCAGGTAAGGAAAAGAAAATGACAAATAAAGAAAAATGGAGACAGACAGAGGGACACTGGTTGTTTGCAGACTGATGAATGTGTGTAATCTCAACAGACAGGTGGATAGATGTATGCTTTGTGTTCTTGTGTGAAGGTCTGCTCACATGTGCATGATGAAGAACATGGTGATATTCCTATAGACTGTCACATAACATGGATTGTTTGTGAATAGATATATTTGTGGTCATTTGCACATACATGAAAGATGCAGCATGCAGGTCTTCACTGCATATCACATATATGTTTAATGGCTAACAAGCTTGTGAGTCTTCAATAACAGTTCGGACTGTATTTGTGCGTATAAAGTGCATGCACGTTTATGGATGCTTGCAGGTCTTCTCAGTGGCTTTGCTGCTTCTGATGGTATCATGGTAACAGCTCAAAACGCTGTCAGATCTGTCCTCCTGCTAGTTTGCTGTGCTGTCCTCTGCTCCTGTATAGGTGAGTGTCTCTGATCTTGGCTCAATGCCCCATCTGTGCCTGAGCGAAATCTCATGAAACCTGTCAAGAACACACCCAGGCAGTGGTGGACGAAGTACACAAATCAAGTACTTGAGTAAAAGTACAGATCCGTAAAATAAAATAAAGGAAATAATGAATATAATAAGGAAAATATAATTAGATTACAGCAGATTTAGTTCACAAACATCTGACAGCTTTGACCTAAATATGATTTTCAGTTACAATAATGACATTAGTAACTTACTTTTAACAGCATCAGAAGCGCGCGAGCTCACAAGATCTCCCGGTTCTTACTTGTGAATTCAGTTCACTGGAGACTCGCACTAAACGGATAATTTGAATCAGTGAGTTGTCGACTCTAGAACAGCTGCAATCGGATCATTCCTATTCGTGAATGAATCATTTGGTGCGATTTGCGAACCGATTTAACGGGTTCATTGAAAAGAATCAGTTTGTTCATGAATCAGACACCGCTTCTGCGTATCGGAGCACGTGATATTATAAGGAGTAACGATACGTTTTATGAAATGTAGTGAAGTATAAAGTACGATCTTATGCTTTGGAATGTAGTGAAGTAAAAGTAAAAGTTACTCAAAATAAAACTACTCCAGTAAAGTACAGATACATGAAAAATGTACTTAAGTACAGTAACGAAGTAAAACTACTTCGTTACTGTCCACCACTGTACCCAGGCCATAATTCAACTCAAAATTAAAAGAAAGAAATTCAAATTTATATGTACTATATAAATAATTTCTATAATTATTTTAGGACCATTAAGAAAAAAAAAAATTCCTAGAATCAAAAAGTGTGCTTGAATTTGGAATGTTGTTTTGTCCATAATGGAAGTCAGTTTTCACCTTCCATATGGTATATGGTAATTCCATATGGAATTTTTCAACATTCTTCAAAATATAAATTTTTTCAGGGGATTTTTCAGTCTGCAGATTGCATTATTACCTAAGTAGGTAATTGAATCCCATCACATTGTGATAACCGTCTGATTTACATTATTATTTTTTAAGTTTATACGTTTATTATTTCACTTATTACATTGATACTCACCAAATAATAAATATGTGGATGTGAAATATTGATTTGAATTACTTGTGTAACTATACAGTGGTTGTATATTTTATTAAAGTTTTCACTAAGAAAAAAAAAGTCTACTACAATGTAGCTTTTCCCTTGGGCTCAGCTTTGGTACACTGCATAAATTGAAAATGTGTAGTTATTAGTCTAAGAAGCTATTTTTTAAACTGAGCTGACCCTTAACATTTCTTTTGTTGGTGTAATCTAATGTGGTCGTGTTGATTTAGTAATATTGGATTGTATAATTTAGTCATTACATTTGTGTATTAATTGGATAAAACTGCATTTATGTATTTAAAACAGTATTTATTTCTGTTACCAGCAAATATGCATTTTGCTGACCGCCTAAAGCCTTATATTTAGCATATGCTTGTAGGCTGTATCGTCAGTGGCACATGGATATTGCATTTGTTACTGTCAGTCTTTGTATTTCAATTAGTGACTGTCAATCCAGTTCATTTTAATTCTACAAAAATTACTTTATTATAAGATAAAATATAATGAAAAGCTCAACAGTGTTTGCACATTAAGAGCAGAAATTTAGAGCAGAAATCATTATGCCTGAAGCGATTCAGGGTGTTTTAATAAGTCATGATTTATATGTTTACCAACATTGATTATTACTTTATGATAGAGTACATGTCCACTGAAACAGTGTGACCTGAGGATTAATACATTTTCTAATCAGTGTTACTGGTTTATTTATTATCAGTTTTTATTGATTAAGGGAGACCAGACCACAGATATTGATCAATGGGAAAACAAGCTGCAACCAGAATACCATCTGCGGTTGCCTGTGAAATTAACAGTTAAAGAGCATCAAGATTTATAAGCACAGAAACTGAGCTTTGGGGCGGAGATAAAATTGCAAAATTCAATCAATATCTAAATACCGAGCTGAATAATAGGCACAGAATGCAATCAATATATGCTATTTGGGTCGTACCACACTTTTTATAGGATAAATGCAGTACCAATGGCTAACAACCTCAGTTTTAGACAGAAATGAGAAAAATGACACTCACCGTGTTTTATGGCTTCTGGGTCAAATCATTCCCTTGAGACTCAGTGAGGCTAGATGATTGATTCTGTCTTATATTACATCCAGCTTCAGACATGCAAAAAACTGAATTCCAGAAACATTTTTTTTATATGCAGTTTTGAGTCAAAACAGGCTTGTGTGCGTAAGAATAAATACATTCACACACATATATTTTGCATTCATTATTCAACATATTTTTACTTACCCAAAAGTAGTATAGAAAATGTGAAGAAAAAAAGGTCTATATTAGTCATACATATTGTCGTGACATGACATGTGACATGTGGCCAAGTATGGTGACCAATACTTGGAATTAGTGCTCTGCATTTAACCCATCCAAAGTGCACACACACAGCAGTGAACACACACACCGTGAACACACACCCGGAGCAGTGGGCAGCCATTTATGCTGCGGCGCCCGGGGAGCAGTTGGGGGTTAGGGATCACCTCAGTCATGGTATTGAAAGTGGGAGAGAGCGCTGTACATTCACTCCCCCCACCTACAATCCCTGCCGGTACGAGACTCGAACCCGCAACCTTTGGGTTACAAGTCCGACTCTCTAACCATTAGGCCACGACTTCCCCAACATTGGGGAATTTTAGCAACATTCTTACAACAAACTCGTTTGTTGTGCTAAGTTGTGCTTCTACTGTCATTTGTAGAGTTACTGCAAGTAAATAATTCTAAATAAGTCCCTTCTGAGGTTCCATTTCAGTTAGAACACTTTCATTAGATGTGACCGCATATGTAGGCAACAGACAGCTCACTGGGTTTTTGGAACAGAGCTATAGAGTGTGACATTTCACATTAAAGAACATCCCTCACACCAGTGATGTTAACACAACCCAGATCATCTAAACCAATTTCACACTCAGAGATTCATAAATCGCCATTCATAACTCTACCAGCCCCCGCAGAATTGAACGCGTGTTCAGCAAATCATGTTGGGTTTCCCTTAGAGACCTTGAGAGGAAAATCAGATCACACAGGATGTTGGCATGATAGCAACAGCTGCTGGAGATCTAATAACAATGCCAAATGAGCTTTATTAGAGTTAATCAAGTATATGCTGCACATTACAAACAGACGTCATTTTTATGGCAACTTTGAAAGGCTCAATCTCTGATATTCTGTGATATTCCATCATTCCAGTAAGAATTTATTCTGTTTTTTTGAATTTGTCAATGATAAAATTCAACTTACCAGTATAAAATATAGCTCTTTATACAATACAGATTGTTTCAAAGCAGCTTCACAGTAATAAACAGGAAATTAACAGAATTAGTGAAATATATTAGATAATTTTAAACCCTTCAAATATGAGACAAATTTAAATTCTGCTGTAAAACAGCTCTAAACAGACAACAGTTCAAGCCAGTTCTGTTCAATAACTGGGTACATTTATTTAATTATGAAACAAGCTCAGTTCAGCGATCAGAAGCTCTATAAAAAGCAATAGTGTTGTTACTGAGCTCAAGTCAGTTCAATGTTGATTCAATTCAGTTCAATAACAGTGTCAGTGTTGCAAAATTCATTACAGATGAAACAAATTTGATTCAGGGATGAAGCAAATCTATTCAACTCCAACTCATCCAATAGTGTCAGAGCAGTCATATCATATGGATAATAGTATGCAATATTATGAGCCAGATTTACTAAACAGGGCAAATTAGAATGTGACTGCAATTCCATAAAAGCTCTGATGGTAGTGTAAAGTTCTGACAATGTGCAAATTAAAGAACACAGATGCAGCCAGCTCATTTCCACAAGACCAGTGCAGTCTACCAAGAGCAATGCTGCCATGTCATTTGCAAAATAGTTTAAAACATGTTTATTTGGGCATTAAATAATGGGATAAATATCAGTAAATTGACTTTATCAATTTAGTAAATCATGCTTCATGAATTATTTAAATACTCTCCCAGGGGCGCTGCTATGGTTTCCAGACCCTCTGAAAATCATTGACTCGTGTCGTCCTAACCTTTCTCACCCCCGTTACGGCGCCCCTGTACTCTCCTCCCATACATTTTGCATCTGAAAGAGAACATCCTAAATGCTTCCAAAAACTGCTCATGCCTTTTCATTGCTTATTTTTTTTTACTGTCTTTAGTAAATGACATTTTATGAGATTTCCACCTGGCTCTGTTGGAGAGTCAATTCTGCTCTGGTTTAAATGATAGATTTAGAGGGGGCAGGTGTAAGGTTGTTACAAAATCTATATGTCTTGGGTGAGTTGTTCATTGTGAGATCAATGTGATCATTGGCAAAGTGTCAACCAAATTGTCACACCTTCTATAAACTGTGTGTGGGACTGTTGCCATTTAATTACTGTTGTTTAGTGTTCCAGTCCCTCCTGATTGGATTTGAGAGATTAACATGAAGTTGTTGTTTTGTTTAAGGGCCTCCTGTGCTGTCTTCCTATACCAGGACAGAAGACAAGCTGTTTAAGCATCTCTTCAGCAACTACCAGAAATGGGTGAGACCAGTGGAGGATCTAAACAGAACGGTGCAGGTGAAATTTGGTCTGGCTATCTCCCAGCTCGTGGATGTGGTGAGAAGTAGTGATGCTGAAACAGCAATCTCCTTATCAAAATCTTGTCTTACAATAAACACATTTTTTTTGGTCAGAATGAGAAGAACCAGCTGATGACAACCAATGTTTGGATGAAGCAGGTAAAGCAGGACTAATCCATTAAGGTTTATCTGATTAATACGAAATATTAATTATTTTTATTAGACCTTTATTTTGCTCTTGTCATTGTGTTCTGTTCTGGTAGTATTTAGTCATTGGTACACAACTGACACACATTGATTTTTATTTGTGAGGGGATCAGCTTTTCAGATGAATCCATGTGTCTCTGCATTCAGGAATGGACAGACATGAAGCTCCGATGGAATCCGGATCATTATCTGGGCATCACCTCCATCAGAGTTCCCTCAGACTCCATCTGGATTCCTGACATTGTTCTCTATGACAAGTATGTGTTGCCACTCAGTGCCTACCTGTATGAGTCAGAAAGGAAACCAGACAGGGACTGAACCTGACGTTTAACATTTCTGTTAGAACAAAAAATATCATAGAGATTCATAATATTTTTTTATGGATATTAAAAGTGATGTTATGTATACATATACTGCATCACATGACTTACTTATTTCATACATATGCCTAAATTGTGAGTAACCATTATTATAAAATACCTTTTTGAATCTGAAGAAGAAGAAGAAGAAAGCAGTTTGGTACTAGATAGTCCGTTGAGCGTTCTTAAAAGAAGAATCTTAAAATTTTTTATTTTGAAGCCTGATCAAGTCTAAATAGTTCTAATGCTTGAGTTTTATTTTTGTAACCTGACAAATGAAAACCAAACTGTTACACTTCAAATGTATGGTTTTACAAGTCAAATCCTTTGTGCTCGACCCCTGTAGAAATGTCAGAGAAAACCGTTTAGAAAATTATCATTTCAATTAGGTCAATATTTATTTCCCAATGTCTCCAACTTCTTGCCTTGCTTGTAAAAGTACAAAAATCTTGACTTTTGTGATTTGAAATGCTACTCTGAGTAAGAAAGACAATTTTTACTTTAATTTGACAATATGAGAATGTTAATTTTGGACCTGCCTGTATCTCAGCTTGATGACCGAGTGATTCTCACTTGCAGTGCAGATGGTAATTTCGAGGCCACAGTGACAAAAGCGGTGGTGAGATATGATGGCACTATCTCCTGGACCCCTCCTGCTAACTATAAATCTGCCTGCACCATTGATGTGACGTTCTTCCCCTTTGACCTTCAGAACTGCTCCATGAAGTTTGGCTCCTGGACCTACGATGGTTTCCAGGTATGCTGTTTTAAACTGTTATTAAAGGCATGAAAATCCAATGTTTACATCTAGAAAGGAAGACCTAAAAATTTACCTAAATTGTACCTAATTAGCTATCTGTAAATAGTACAGATAAAGTAACTGAAATTACTCATACTGTATATTCTAAGTCCTCTGAAGCATAGCTTTTTGTTTAATATATGGAAATGTATGTAACAACTGCATAATATTCCTTTTTTAAGGTGGACATTCTCCTTGAGGATGTACATGTGGACAAACGTGACTATTTTGACAACGGTGAATGGGAGATTGTGACAGCCACAGGTAGCCGAGGTTTGAGAAGTGATGGAACCTTTTTCTATCCATCCATCACTTACTCCTTTATTATCAGACGTCTTCCTCTTTTCTACACACTCTTCCTCATCATCCCCTGCATTGGATTGTCTTTCCTGACCGTGCTGGTGTTTTATCTCCCATCTAACGGAGGAGAGAAAATCTCCCTCTGCACATCTGTCCTCGTCTCTCTCACTGTCTTCCTTCTGGTGATAGAAGAGATCATCCCTTCCTCCTCAAAGGTGGTACTCTTTTTAAGAATTCAGAGCTATATTAAGTGATTTATATATTTAATTGATGTGTACTGTATGTCAGTGTGCCACACACATTTTTGAATTATTTCACATTATTTTTCAGCTATTGGATGTTTTACTACAGAACTAAGTTAATTCATTTTAGGCACTGAAGTGCTTTTCTGTATTTACTTTGAGGGCCCTTTTGTCATTCTGCAGTTGTGGTGGCAGATTCTGTCACTCACCTCTAGATGTCAAAAACTCCAACTGCAATGCATAATTTCTGGATAGAACCATATAAGTAACACTTTTGAATACATAGAATGGTATACATGTTATATCGGTAACACTTTAGTATAGGGAACAATTCTGACTAGTTGCTTATTAGAATGCCTATTATTAAAATATTGGCTGTTTATTAGTACTTATAAAGCACATATTCTGCATGGCCATATTCAACATCCTTACCCAATACCTAAACTTAACAACTACCTTACTATTGTTAAGCAGCAAATTAGGAGTTTATTGAGGCAAAAGTCATAGTTAATGATTTATTAATAGCGAGAATTGGACCTTAAAGGGGTCATAGAGTTTTATCTCCCATCTAACGGAGGGGAGAAAATCTCCCTCTGCACATCTGTCCTCGTCTCTCTCACTGTCTTCCTTCTGGTGATAGAAGAGATCATCCCTTCCTCCTCAAAGGTGGTACTCTTTTTAAGAATTCAGAGCTATATTAAGTGATTTATATATTTAATTGATGTGTACTGTATGTCAGTGTGCCACACACATTTTTGAATTATTTCACATTATTTTTCAGCTATTGGATGTTTTACTACAGAACTAAGTTAATTCATTTTAGGCACTGAAGTGCTTTTCTGTATTTACTTTGAGGGCCCTTTTGTCATTCTGCAGTTGTGGTGGCAGATTCTGTCACTCACCTCTAGATGTCAAAAACTCCAACTGCAATGCATAATTTCTAGATAGAACCATATAAGTAACACTTTTGAATATATAGAATGGTATACATGTTATATCGGTAACACTTTAGTATAGGGAACAATTCTGACTAGTTGCTTATTAGCATGCCTATTATTAAAATATTGGCTGTTTATTAGTACTTATAAAGCACATATTCTGCATGGCCATATTCAACATCCTTACCCAATACCTAAACTTAACAACTACCTTACTATTGTTAAGCAGCAAATTAGGAGTTTATTGAGGCAAAAGTCATAGTTAACGAGCTCAAAACGCGCCGTTTTTGTCTTCGTCCCTTTAAATGCAAATGCTCCCGGCCCCCTTTTCAGAAGAGGGCGGAGCTTCAAAAGCCAAAGCTCCCACCGGCACACTGGCAACACACAACAATCGCATGCACTGAAACTGTCAGAAACTCTCAAGCGATCGGCTCACATTGCTTTCATATGCTAATTTATAACTACCACTTTTCTATTTACGATCATTCTGGTAGCACGTGAAGGTAGCATCAGTGAAAACAGGCAGAGACGACGGTAGCTTTAGCAACATTAGCCTTACAGAGTGCCAAGGAGCTCTTTCAGAAAGGCATTTTGAAAATAAAATATGAAGTGCTTACTTTGTCTGGAGTTGACATTCGCGCACGAAGCCTTGGTATTGATCCCTCTTTCAGAATCAGACTTTGCGAAAATCCAGCGTTGAAATGACCCTTGTTTGTGAGGCAGTCTGGTGTAAAATGATTGGCATGACTTTACTGATTTTTTTCGGTACATTTCCTTCGAAAATTAAACTTAACCACAGTGTCCTTAGCGGCTCAGATGGAGGGAGACTATGGAGCTCCTACGTTCATTGGTGCATCCCAAAACATAACACTTCTAATGCCTCTTTGGCAGTGACATTGTATATCTCCAGTAATGATGGACTGCTGCTTCTCACTCAGGGCAGAGATCGTCACAAATGGGTGGGACTTTTTCCCTACGATGACATGTATGTAGGGCAGCAGTTCTCAATTCCAGTCCTCGCGCCCCACCGCTCTGCATATTTTGCATGTCTCTCTTAGTTAACACACCTGATTCAGATAACCAGCTTGTTAGAAGTGAGCTCCGTGCATGAACTTTGTTCCAATTGACATGGTCCCTACACTGCTTCCTACTCCCTGAGCAGGGAAAATTATGGCGGAATATTCTGTGATGTTCATTTTTGTTCATTTCGCTTGTTCTGAGACTGTTTACGAAAGAAAAAAAACTTATTTTAATAACACACAATAAAATAATTATATACTTTGACACACATTAGTAAGTATGCTGACTAGACATATTTAAATGTTTTTTTTGTTCTCAGCTCATGTCTTTAATAATTCATTTATTTAAACCTGTGACACTGCATTGTGGTTCAAGGGTTAACTCTTGGTTATTCAACATCCAGTCCCTCACTCTGAAGATGTTCACTTTATGAGTCTTTGTGACACTTGTTTTGCTTATCACTAGCAAATTCACTTGACAACCCACTGGCTTCATCTAAGGGTAAGAGGGTTTTTTCTTCTATTATTTTGTATTTATTTATTTTTTGTTCATATTTCTGTTGATGTGTTACCATTCTTTAAATAGGTCCTTAAACTTTTTTGTTATTGCCTCTCATTGTATATTTTCATCTTGTAAGTTCCATACTCACAAATCTTCTTTGTCTATGCCTTTCACAACTTAATCCTTGCGTCCTATTTACACCTAATTTATGTAATATACATTAAGTAACTGTTTATGAAATATGCACTTGCAATTCAAATACTGGAACATGCTATTTAATCTTAGTGACTATAGATGTTCTTGTTTAGATAAGTAAAATATTGTTCTAAAAACTGTTATCTAGTTATCTTGCAAAACGCATTTTCAGTATTTTTTTGTCGTTTTCCAGTAGAAATATCAAAACAACATAAACTAACAAGTATTGTTTTTCTTGTTTTCCATTAGAAAACAAGATAACTTTACTGCAGAAGTAAAAATATTTTAAAAATAAAATGTAAAAAACAAGAGGTTTGTTTTCTGTTGTGTGCAGCAGATTTAACATTTCAAGTTCCTACATTTTTCTTAAACAGTGTAACACTAGAGAATGGGTAAAATCTGTTGAAGCCAAGCAACCAGCTTTACCAGACACAACTGCAAACACAATAAGCTTGTTTGAGATAACAAACACCTCGTCTTGAATGTAGATGAGAGTAGACGGCTGCAGCCAGAGAAAGGAACCAAATAAGAGCTGACAATTCTCTCTTTACAGGACAGGCAATCTACATGAACAAATGCAAATTAGTTTTAAAATATCACATTCACATCATTTGTTGCTAATTAAGCGGATGCATCCACAATGTATAGTTGATATAGATAACAGAATATCATTAGACAAATACAAGATGTCACAGTTGTGAGCCTTGCTGCTCAGCATGAACATCAAAACAAGTCAGACTGTCACTGATGGCATTTTTATCTGATGTGTTGAATAATCAGGCATGCTGTTGATTGGATCTGATGTATAATAGAACATATTTACGAATTATGATGGGCGAATTTTAAACGATTTTTAGCCGATTTGGGTCTAGATTTAGGGGTGGGCCTTCATGATTTTAGCAAGTCTGTATAATAGAACATATTTACGAATTATGATGGGCGAATTTTAAATGATTTTTAGCCGATTTGGGTCTAGATTTAGGGGTGGGCCTTCATGATTTTAGCAAGTTGGCAAGTGATTGAAACATGCTCATCTTGCCTCCCCTGATAAGGAAATGGCCATTTTGGTTTTGAAAAGACATCATTGGGCCTGTCCTAATACCCACACTTGTGGTCTTGGCCATTTGAGATACACATGACAGGAAATAAATGTGCAAAACTGTCCCATGTCTGAAAAAAGCCAAAGCTCAGTACCCTTGAGCTAAATACACTAAATTCACACTTTCTCTAATGATATCGCTCAGAGTGGTATTTGAGGCTAAGCCTATGTTAAATTAATTAAATATTACATATAATTTGGTGGTAAAACATAAAGTGTTGCACATTGTATGTGCAGAGACAAGTACTGTATGTATATTTTGTAGAACATTTGCAACTGCTTTTGATCTCGTAATTACAGGTAGAAGCACCTAAATAAATTTGATCTTGTTACATATCTGAATAGACATTGAGAAGTTTATTCTAAAAGGGCAAAGTACTGAAAATCAAAAGGTATAAACAAAGGTCTTTGAAAATGTTACATTCCACACACTTGCATTGAAATACAATGAGAAAGTAGACAAGTAGTTAATTGCAAAGAGAGCAAGTGTGGGTATTGTGACAGGCCCGTTCTCAAAGAGAAAGATAACAGAGGCACAAATGACAGGATACACAAATGACCCACACAGCCCATATCTACAATTGGTCCTGCCCCAAATTAACCCTAACCTTGGTTTAGGATGATCAAATGGAGCAATGTTTTGATAGCAGCACAGACACACAGTATGTATACTTTTCAGGAAAATTAACCTACAAATGGAGTATGTATAGTTGTCACTGTGCATTGAATAGTAATTTGCAAGAGGGGAAATTCATATTTTAGCTTAAAAACTGTTTTGCATTGTTTCTTGAAGGATTCTAATGGCTCTAAGAGGGTACTTAAACAGGATTGGGTTTACTGGACCATATGACAAACCTGATCTGGACACTTTACGCACCATCCATAAGCTGCATGTTATGACCATTCCATTTGAGAACCTCAGCATCCACTGTGGGGAGAAGAACACGATGGACCTGAACATCATCTATGATAAAATAGTCAAAAGCAATCGTGGAGGCTGGTGTTGTGAAAACAACCTCTTGTTCTCATGGGTCCTAAAGGAGATGGGTTACAAATACACCACACTAGGCTCCAAGGTGTTTAATAAGTTCCAAAATGATTTCTACCCCGTGGACTCTCATCTCATCAATATGGTGGAGATTGAGGGGAAGCCTTACATTACCGACGTGAGCTATGGAGTGTCGTGCCAACTGTGGTATCCCTTAGAGATGATCTCGGGTAAAGATCAGCCGCAGCCTCCAGGTGTGTTCCGCCTGCTA